CGTAGCAAGCTTTATTAGATCTTCAACTATGGAGATTTTAGGTGCTTTACGGCAACCTTTCACACTATAATATGCCTCACAAAACTCAAGAAATACAATAGGAGAGAGAGAAAGAGAGAAATTTCGAGCTTTAAGGAGTCTTGGACGAAATTTTTGAGGCCCTTGAGAACTGTGCCCAAGCTGTCTATTTATAGGCATTAGAAGGGTGCCAGAACGGCCCGTTCCAAATTCGAAACGACTCGTTCTGGATCTGAACGTTATGTGTTAAATTCTTACCCTGGAACGGCCTGTTCTGAAACCAGAACGGCCCGTTTTGAGGTTAAGATCAACACAAAAATGCATTTCTAGAACGACACATTCCAAACTAGGTTTTTTAGGCTATTTAGCGGTTTGGAACGACCCATTCTAGTTTTGGATTAGCCCGTTCTAGTTTAGGAACGACCCGTTCTAGCCTAAGATTTTTAGGCCTTTTGCCTGGTTTGGAACGGCCCGTTCTGGTTTTGGAATGGCCCGTTCCAGACTAGGTTTTTAGGCCTTTAAGTTGCCCTATAAATTCTGATACTATAATATTAGCTATACCTTCCTCAGAACTTTTGTGGGTTGTTTGGTAGGTAGTACATACCATGGTCATATGTTGTAACATATGCATGATATTGTACGAAAAAATTAACTATACACAAAGAAGAAGTGTCGAAAAAGCCGACGTTACATCTTAAAATAGCGCCAACTTTTCCGACAGTATACGTTCTTTGAGAGAGATAAAGATAATTTTTTTCAATGTTATATACACATAATGTGTTCTAGTACACTTGGTTATCAAGTTCACTTAAGACCTCAAGGTTCACAGATCGAGTCCCAGGAATGTTAAAAATACGAATGAATAAATGATAAACTAGAAAAATAAGATACAGAAAAAATAAAATAAATTTTTTTAATCGGTCGTGAGTTATGAGTCTACTATGCTTGTTTGGTAGATGAATGATGGAATGAATTGATTGTGGAACTTATTGATATGTTAGTGTGATGATTGAATATGTTTGTTCTTTATTTAATTATAGTATAATTGTTAACTTTTCTAAGAAAAATATAAATTTTAAATTTGAAAAAAAGGAATAACTACCCTAAATTTAAAGAATTAAAAATATAATTAAGCATAAATACATTATAAAGCTAAGTTCATATTTGAGCCAAAAGAAAACTACTCCAAAATATTATCCTTTTTTGATGGTTTACATTTTTACCAACTTTGGCCAAGAATCTTGAAAATCAAATCACTCTTGAAAGGGTATTCGAACGTTAAATTTGGCTCAAAGTGTTGAAGAAAACATCTGAAAAGGAAAGGGCACAAGAAAATGATGACTGTGCAAAATTGCAAGGCTTTAGAATAAGAACGACGTTGCAAGACAAAGAAAAAAAAAAGAGAGGACCAGGTCGTTTTCTTCTTCTTCTTTTTATTTTTATTTTTTAAAGCAAAAGAATAATTGAATTAGTTGTATATGGTCAAAACCATTAAACCAAGTCCCCCACATTCAAATTAGTAATTCCATCCATTTCCAAGGCCTAAGACGGTAAATTTGACTAACAGATTTGTTTCTAATATTTTCAATTGGGATCAATCTCTCAAGTTATATATATATATATATATATATAAACATTATTTTAATCTTATTTTTATAATTTTGAAAATTAAAATTATTCTCTTTCACTTTAGACTTAATTGCTTTTTTTATTTTATCTTTTTATTCTAAAAAAGTTACATATACTAACATACAAAAATGTCACTATATGTAGGTATAAATATATTTCATATATAATTATGTATAATTTTAGTATTAATTTTAAATGAGATTTAATAATTTATATTATGTGTCACTATAGTTTATACCTATACTTTTTTATAATATATTAATATATATTGTATCTATAGTATAAGTAAAAGTAATTTTTAGTGACAAATATTATACACAATGAAGTGTGTTATTATATGACAATTTCCTTGTATTGCTAGTATTACAATTGTAATATTTTGGTCTCTAAAATTCTAACCAAATAATTTTAGTCTCTCAAGTATCATAATTGTACGATTTTAGTTCTCAAAATTTTAATTAAGCAATTCAAGTCATCAAATACCATAATTATACAATTTTCTCCTCCTTAAATTACATAAATTATAAATTCCAGTCATGTATTGAATGATATATATTTATTAATACCAAATTACTAATATATATAACTTAAATAGATAAAATTTTGTATAATTATGATATTTAAGATATTTTAAAAAATTACACAATCCCAGTACTTTAAAGATTAATATTCTCTCAATTAAAAATTGAAAGACCAAAATTACACAATACTTCAAAAAATAAAATTATTTAATTAAAATTTAAAAAACTAAAATTACACAACTCTTATACTTAAAAAATCAAAAATGCATTTAAGTCTTTATTTTTATTAAGAATTACAATAATTAATAACTAATAATTAAGTTAGACTTTATACATTTTTTGTGCCAATCAATTAAATATCATTCTCTATAGTTTTAAAATAATCATTATAAAAGTTAATAATCTTATCAAATATGAAATTAATAAAATATAAAAAACATTAATGAAAGGAGTCTTTTGTATCAATTAAAGTTTATTATAAATCACGTAATTTCATAAATCTCACCTATCATCTAGTAAACTTTATTTATAATTTCATTTCTAATAACTTTGTAACAATTAATAGAAAAACGTTGTTTAAAAATACAATTACTAGAAATTTTATTAGAAGTTGTTTGACTTGAAGAGTTTGTTATCAACACCTCGCAAAACTTATCATTTTCTTTAGATAATTCTTAGAGAAACCAACATATAATCATGTTTTCCTCTTTTCATTGCTTTTTTTTTTCTCTAATAACAATATCATTTGACATACACTACTAGAATTTCTTTTATTACATCCGACTTTTCCTGCAAATTTTTCATAAAAATTTGCAAGAAACGTTGTTCCTACAAATTTTTCTGCGAAATTTTATTTGCAAATAATACCTTAGTGAATAATATATTTTTGCGAATTTTAAAATTCGCAGGAAATTTTCCTGCGAAATTTCTTGCAAAAAAAATTCGTAGGAAACTTTCCTGCGAATTTTTTCGCAAGAAATTTTGCAAGAATATTTTTTACGAAAAAAATTAAAAAAAATTATTATAAATTCTATATTTTAAGAATTCATAATCTTTTATTTTCATGCCTCATACATAATCTTTTAAATTCTAAGATTGTAGATTATAAGTCTAACACTCAACCATACAATTCAACTTGTAAGGTAAGTATTACTACAACTTATATACTCTTTAATTGTTTTATTTTCAATAGATGTGGGACTTGAAGATTTTTTAAAATATTAAACTTATGAATTTAAATATATTTTTTTATTTTTCCTACAAATTAAAATTTGCAGGAAAATCTGCAGGAAAAGTTACTTGCACAATTTTTCTACCATTTAGTAAATATTACTTACGAATTTATTTTTGCAAGAAAATCTGCAAGAAACAAAATAAAATTCTTACAATATTTTCTGCAAATTTTTACCATGAAATTTTTTTTTCCATGATTATTAAAATTGTAGCAAAATTTGTAAGAAATATCTGTAAATTATTTTTTGTAGGAAAATTCGCAAAAAATTTCTGCGAATATTTTTTACGAATTTTTTTTGCAAGAAAACTTGCAAAAAAATAACACTTTTCTAATAGTGAAAAAAGTATTAAATCCAGCCATATTATATTAGTCTATATAAAATAAATAATTGATTTTTTTTTTGTTTTTTTTTTTACTTTTTAAATTTATAAATATTAATTCATCAAAAAGTTTGAAAGCATTGTATCTGGTCTTTGTAGAATTTTTAGAACTTATAAAATGAGAATTTATTTTATTTTAATCTCTGTAAAATATATATATATTTTAAAATTTTTACCTTTCTAAAATTACTATTTTTTTTGACATTAATAATGATTTTGAAATAGAAAAATAATATTTACTTTTAGGACCTATAAAAAATTGTAGAAGTGCCACATACTAGCATGATATTATTAACAATTATAAATAATACATGAGATAGTCACTTAACTTTTTAATAACATCACATAATATCATTAATTGATAGTGATAGGTTAAGATAATTTTATAATATTAATAATAGCATAAATGACGGGATAAATTAAGATAATTTTATAATATTAGTTAGTCTTACATAATCTTTTATTAATAATAACACTAATAAAGCAATTATGTGTGACAAATAAATTAATGACTTTTGAACAAAAAGATCAAAATAAAAATATACATAAGTTCAAAGTGAAAAAAAACATGAAACCTAATTTTAAATATTAAATTAAGAAGTTAAAATAATGTTTGGCAAAAGATTTTACGTTTGTAATCTTTCGTTATTGTAGATTAATTTTTTTTTTTAAACTTTGAAATGAGATACTATATATATATAGAGGAGGGATTTGTTTATTCCATGAATAAGTTTACTAGACTTATTTCAATCAATAACTTATATTCTACATCAAATTTCAACGATCCAACCGTCGAATTTAAAGTTCTTAATACATAAATCAAATCTAGGTATACATTGATTCGAATTAATGAAATGAAGTATCATATAATTTTCAAATTTTTTAAAAATTTGCAGATTTAAATCTATGCATTAAAAACTTTAAATTGAACGGTTGGATCGTTGGAATTTGATGTAGAACATGAGTTATTGAACGGAGTAAGTCTAGATAGACTTACTCTTGGAATAAAAGGATCTCTCCTATATATATATATGAGGAGAGTTATAATAACACCGGTGTAACTTCTATTAAGTATTACACCGCTATATAATTTTATATTAAATGTGAATTTTGTAAATTTATACCAATGTTATTATAATCCTCCTCGTATATATATATATATATATATATATATATTAAACCGAGAGTAACCGGTTGAAAAGTAATATAGAAATTCCACGCGTTATTGCATAGTTGAGTTAGCTTGTGTTGAAGAATCAAAACTGAAGCTCAGAACAATTAAAAAAAAAAAAGCACTGGCGATTCTCGCTTGTTTTCGGAACTATCCATGTTTCTTGTCTCAAACACAGTTTTAGTTTTGGTCTTTGTCTTTTCTTTCTAACGCTGTGTCTTCTTCGTATTTATTTCTTATTTCGTGTTCCATCTGCTATGGTTAGAGGCAAAGATCTTGTTCCCAATGGCGTTGACTCCGACGGGGAGAACTCAAGGAGCAAGGTGTCACAGCAGTATCATGATTTCGTTCATGGCAAGAAGGTTGGTGTTGATGAGTTTCAGTCATCACCCACAAAAGTTGCCATTTCTGGGTTGCAAGAGTTGACCCTCAGCTACCTCTGTGATAACCCAAAATTGGGTCTTGTTGAAAGCGGAATTGGTGATAGAAGCTTGGTGAAGGGCAAGGAAATTGTAGTTTGTGGGAATTCAGATCAAGATGAAAAAGCTTCAACGTTTGGTGGTGCTAGACAGTGTCTCGAACATGATTGTATTCCAAGGAGAATAGTTGTTGGAAACCAAAACCATGATCAAGATGAGAAATGGGTAGAGAGGGATTTTTTGAGTTTGAGTGAAAGTAGGGAGAATTCTTCGAAGAGATCCATTGAGGAAGAGTGTAACAGAGAGAAGAATGGTGGCAACAAGCAGCAGAAGCTTGAGACTCTTGGTCTCTCTCTTGCTTTGCCTGATGTGTCACTCTCTCTCACAGCATCAAACGCTTTGAAAAATGGTGACCAAGTTGTTAGGCCAAAGGCTAGTAGGCAATCTGCAAGGACCACAACTACGATCAATTCATGTTCAAATGATTACACAGGTGGTGCTTCTTTGTCTCAATCTTATTCTCACCCTTTCTCACACAACCCAAGTTGCTCACTTACCCGTAATTCAACGGAGAATTTTGAGTATTCACTCAGCAAAGATGATCAAATTTGGCATTGTGGGGAAGGGACTAATGGGTCTGTACATAGTAGGTTCAAGCCAATAGGTGATGGGGTTGCTTTCGCCAATCATTCCTTTATGCAAGGGAATAGTCATTATAAGGCTACTAGTTCAGATAACCAATCTTTTTACCCTTCAGAATTGCCTGCAAGAGTGAGATTTGAAGCTCAGTCAGAGGGCTCAAGGGGAAAGAATTCCGAAAATCTGAGAGGCTTGGAAGGTATGGATGGTGGGAAGATGATGAAGTTTTCTACATCAGAGAGAGTTCTGAGAGAAATTGTGTCTGATTCTATCCCAGCGATGGCATTGACATTTCAGGAGTTCACTGATGAAGCCATAACATCAATTAAGGAACACTTGAAAGGTCTCATTGACATGCCAAATAAGAAAGGGGAATTAGAAAACCTCCAGAACCGCCTCGGCAGAAGATCTGACCTCACCAGAGAGATCCTTTCAAAGTGTCATAAGGATCAGCTAGAGATTTTGGTTGCTATCAAGATGGGGCTTGGGAGTTTCTTGTCCGGTGATTTCCAATTCTTGGAGATGGTGGAGGTTTTCTTCCACAAGAGATGTAGAAATGTGAACTGCAAGAGCTTGCTGCCTGTTGATGACTGTGACTGCAAGATGTGCTCAACAAACAAGGGTTTTTGCAGTTCTTGCATGTGTCCTGTGTGTTTTAACTTTGATTGTGCAAGTAACACTTGTAGTTGGGTTGGTTGTGACGTTTGTTCCCACTGGTGTCATGCTGCATGTGCCATTCAGAGGAATCTAATCAAACCCGGGCCTAGCTTGAAGGGTCCTTCTGGGACCTCTGAGGTGCAGTTTCATTGTATTGGCTGTGGACATGCATCAGAAATGTTTGGCTTTGTTAAAGACGTCTTTGTGTGTTGTGCCAAGGAGTGGAGCCTAGAAACCTTGATCAAAGAGCTTGGCTGTGTGAGAAGGATTTTCCAGGGAAGTGAAGATCGCAAAGGGAAGGAATTGCATATTAAGACGGATGATATGCTGTTAAAGCTTCAAGCTAAACTCGTTTCTCCTTTGGATGCCTGCAACTACATAGTACAGTTTTTCAGCTGTAAGTCACTGAACTTTAGCCTTTACTTTTCATATTCAATTTATCTGTTCAAGTGTTCATAAAAAATTTTGTCAAGCCATGAAATTTGATTTATAACTGATTCAAGAGTTAGATGTCAAGCTATGGAATGATTTTGTAGTTTATAACTCATTTGGTCTTAGTTGTTATGGCGTTTGATATCATGTTGACTCAGTTATTTATCATAGGTTGCATAAATAAAAGACAAGGAATGTCCTCGTAACACAGAGGTGTCTATACATAATAATTGGTTCTAGTCTTCTGATGCTTGATGTTGGTGAATAATGAATTATGCTACATTAAGCACTCATGCCTAAGATGAGTTACAGATTTTGGATAGATGACTGAGATGAATATCTTTGATCATTAGGCATTAGTCTCTAAGTTAACAGAACGCATACTTCAAATGGTTCAAATGTTGTTTGCATGTACATGTACATCCCTCCCTAGAAAGTAGCTAAATCTTTGAGTTGATATTTCAATATACATATTAGTCTGTACTTTTCACCAAATTCAAATGTCCCCACAAATGTGTGTATCCTTTTTCATGTTTACCTTTGGTCTCATATCTTTTTTTTTTTTTTTATGTTAAATAGACGCAGATGGCATGTCAGACTTTCCTGCTTCTGGCATATCCTCAAAGGATTTGTCAACATCTAAGGCTAACCTTCCAATGGACACAACATCATCTCTTCCACAATCTATTTCTCTAATACCAAAATACACTCATGACATGAGCTACTCAAGGTTAAATGATCTTCAACAGAGAGACATCAAAACTTCCCTCCCAAGTGAACATACAAATGAGACAGATTTCCACTTTGAGGCTTTATTGAGGAAAGAAGGGTTTGAAAGCTTGGAGAGCATTGTGCGGATAAAAGAGGCCGAAGCGAGAATGTTCCAGAGCAAGGCAGATGAGGCGAGGAGAGAAGCAGAAGGGTTCCAGAAGATGATCAAGACAAAGGCTGCACAGATGGAAGAAGAGTATGCAGAAAGGCTTGGCAAGCTTTGCTTGCATGAGGCAGAGGAAAGGAGGAAAAAGAAATTTGAAGAACTCAATGTCTTGCAAAGTTCCCACTATGATTACTTCAACATGAAAAGTAGAATGCAAGATGAGATTCATGGTTTGTTGAAGAGAATGGAGGCAACAAAGCAGCAATGAGTTTAATATATTTTATGGTTGTTGTTGTTGTATAATATTTTGCTATCTAAAAACACTAGCAAAATCTGTGTAATTTATTCATCCAGTGTCATTTGTGTTCTGCTGTTCCTTATTCATCATAGATAACTTTCTATCGATAAATACAATACTCAAGTTTTGTATCTTTCATTTTTTTTTCTTCGCAAAATTGGGAGGCTCCTAAACGTGAATTTAGCCATGTTCTTCATGAGAGCTAGCAGTTCCTATTTATAATGTAAAAAAAAAAGAAGAAAATAATGAAAAGCTTCTTTAGTCCAAAATAATTGTTGCTTATCATTTTATCCTTTCTCTCTGATTTGTATTTTATTTGTTTCCTTTTTCATTACACAATAAATAACCTAATTACTAATAAGATTTCTTTTAAAGATTTTTATAATCTGTTTAGATGTTAATAGATTTATATTATTGAACTTTATAGATCTTGAAAGGACTTTATGCATTTATAAAATTTGATAATTTTAAAATATAACTTATCCCGACTTAGTAATGTATATATATATATATATATATATAAAGAGAGAGAGAGAGTTTGATAATTTTAAAAGAAAACTATATTACTGTAAAAAAAAAAAAAAAGAAGAAAAAAACTACATCAGTTTGGTCATAACTCATAAGTCTAGCTGTCAAAACTGAATTTGGATGAGAATGTCTGGAAACCAATATATTGCTGATTTTTTAAGTTAGTCCCTAATATGCTTGATAGATTATTCTCTTAGCTTTGCTACATTGTGATGTTGGACAATTTTAAGAATCTGAGGCTCTTATCAATTGGTTACATAAACAAAACTATACTATGATGACCAAAAAATTACGACTATACTAAAGGTGGAGAGAGATATTTGATATGATTAATTATAAAACACATAGCAGGAGAAGACATAGAAGGAGAATAATTTTCAATGGTACCCTCCCCAGATATTATTATTTAGAGAATTGTTTATTTGAACACTAATTATTGCAGTTTCATCTACCATAGGAAACTCAGCGCATGTTTTATCCTTGTATATATTATTTCTGAGTTGGATTGACTTTAAGAGAACATGTAATATTTATTGTGGCCATATCACTTACAATTAATTATTGTCAATTGCATAAGTAGTCAATACTATAATCTTACAACTGAAGTGAATTTACATCACTTTTAAAGTAGTCATTTGGAATGTATTCCGCAATATCTCAATAACAACAAAATACAGAACTGTGTAAAAAAAAAATTATATTACAGCAATTTGTATTCAGTGTCGTAGAAATCGCACTCTAAATGGCTGGAAATAATACCACAGAGAAAGATTCATTAATACCGAAATAAGTACATGACCATAGGAAAGAAAAAAAAGAATATTCAGAAAAAAGATACAGTGAAGAGGGGAATTCATCATAGTATTTTCCACCCACATTTTTTCGGAACCCACATTTTTTTGGATGAGGGTATGTCATGTCTCAAATGAGACTCAACAGTGGTATTGCAATAAACAAACCATTGCACCGGGTTATAGACAGACATTGTCTTGGACATATGAGAATGACTCCAAGTATAGTTGTCACTATCCTCCCATTTAATCAACAGTTGAGAATCCAATTATGTTGAACACGAATTTGATGGGTATCTAGCATTGCCACTAGCTGAAGTAGGGTCCTTCCGAAGTGGTAATCAATGGTAAAAGAATGTGTTGGGTGATTGTGTTGTCCTTGCACAAATTTAACACCGAATCAATTCTAACACTGAATTGGTTTTAAATTGCAGTTGCAGTCATGGTTGCTGCAATGTGGATTCTAGTAGGCGTGAAACCATTACATATTTACATAAAATATAAATAAATAATTCTATAATAATAAAAATCAATCAAATCTTTTTTCTTAAAATTTTTACTCAAAATCCCTTTATTCCTTCCCTAAAATACATTATCTAACACTCTAATCAACTATCATTAGCTACCTTCCTCCCTCTCTTAACATCCCATGAAACCAAACTTATTAGATTAAAAGATTAAAACTTGAATCGATGTGTTTTTCTGACACAAAAGGTGAAATAAAATGGTGTTACTTATCTATTATAGTCGTGTTATGAAATTTTCAGTGATTTAAAATAACACCACAATTGTGAGTCGTTGTAGTTGCAGGAAGTACTACAACAACAATATTGTGACCGCAACACCTATTGTGACCGCAACACCTATTGTGGATCACAATTTAAAACCGCAACACCTATTGTGGATCGCAATTTAAAACCATGGACTGAAACATGGAAAATTGGATGTAATTTGGCCTGGAAAGGAACCTCCTATATAAAAGCAACAAACCCTATGTGCTCCAAAATTTTGAAAGGCCAAAAGTAGCGCATAGATATAGTTTTTGATTATGTTGGAGGTGTAATGAAAGTTGACAATAAGGTTGTAGTTTCACAAAGACAAGATCCCTGTCATTAAACTCGACATCATTGTGGTGTTTATTAGCATATTGAGCATGAGTAAAGTGAAGCTTGAGTTGGGTGAGTATTGTTGGGGATTGCAAACGCACTCACACGCACAATTTGTAGGGGTCGCAAACACACCTACATACACAATTACAAGAAAGAAAGTAAATTCACAAGACACAAAAATTTACGTGATTCAATCAGAATAACTTACGTTTACAGCCTCACTAGATGGTATTTTCTATTTCATAATTAGGTTTACAATTACATCAGTATTTATAAAAATAGCGCATAGATATAGTTTTTGATTATGTTGGAGGCGTAATGAAAGTTGACAATAAGGTTGTAGTTTCACAAAGACAAGGTCCCTGTCATTAAACTCGACATCATTGTGGTGTTTATTAGCATATTGAGCATGAGTTAAGTGAAGCTTAAGTTGGGTGAGAATTGTTGGGGATTGCAAACGCACTCACACGCACAATTTGTAGGGGTCGCAAACACACCTACATACACAATTACAAGAAAGAAAGTAAATTCACCAGACACAAAAATTTACGTGATTCAATCAGAATAACCTACGTTTACAGCCTCACTAGATGGTATTTTTTATTTCATAATTAGGTTTACAATTACATCAATATTTATAAAAAAACACAAGCAAATGGGTCAAGCCCAATAAACCCTTCAAACTCCACATACTCAACAATCTCCCACTTGGAGACTGGTCACATTAACTGCACTCCAAAGTAAATTTAGTAAACCTTAAAACTGTAACACCTCCAAGCTAGTGCGACGCCTTCTCAACAATTAACCATGAAGGCTAGTTGAAGCTATGCAAAGTTTCAACTTCTTAGTAGTAACCACCTTGGTCAACATATCTACAGGATTCTCCAACCAAGGGATCTTCTTCAAGAACAAAGTACCATCATTGATTAGTCCTCTAATGAAGTGGTATCTCAACTGGATGTGCTTTGTCTTTGCATGGAACACAAGATTCTTTACAAGATGAATGACACTTTGATTATCGCTATAAAGAGCACTCTCACACTACTTCTTGTCCAACTCTTCAAGAAAATTATTCAACCAAATCATTTCCTTACCGGCTTCTAAAATAGCCATGTACTATGCTTATGTGGTTGAAAGTGCAACATTTTCTAAATTCAATACATGCAGCTAACTGCTGTGCCACCTACTGTGAAAACAAATCCTGTAGTACTCTCCCTTGTGTCTGAATAACTTCCCAAATTTACATTAGAATATCCTTCTAAAATAACATCATTCTTACTGAAACATAATGCAATCTTAGAAGTACCTTTCAAGTAGCGTAGCAACCACTTGACAACTTCTCAATGCTTCCTTCCTAGAGACATGAATCTGCTAACAAATCCGACTGCATGAGCAATGTCTGGTTTAGTGCATATCATTGCATACATTAAGCTACCAACTACAAATACATAAGGAACCTTAGCCATTGCTACCTTGTCTTCATCCATTTTAGGTGAATGCTCCTTTGTGAGATTGAAGTAAATCCCCAAATGTGTACTTACAATCTTGGCATCCTGCATGCTGGATTTCTCTAACAATTTCCCAATATACTTCTCTTGAGATAAAATTAAGGAACCTTTGAATTTTTTCCTATTGATGTTCATGCCCAAGATTTGCTTTGCAACACCCAAATCCTTCATTTCAAACTCTTCAGACAATTGTGCTTTCAATCTATTGATTTCATCCATATTAGATCCTACAACTAACATGTCATTAACATATAATAGTAATATGATATAGGATGGACCAAAATTTTTCAAATAACAACACTGATCCATGACACATTTCTTGTACCATTTCCTACTCATAAAACTATCAAACTTTAGGTACCACTACCTTGGTGCTTGCTTCAACCCATACAAACTCTTGGTTAACTTACAAACCAAGTTCTCCTTCCCTACTTTTTGGAAACCCTCTAGTTGCACCATGTAGATGTTCTCATCAAGGTCGCCATGTAAGAGTGTTGTCTTAACATGTAGCTGCTCGAGATGTAGATCCTCTACAGACACAATGCTCAACACGAGTCTAATGGTAGTCATTTTAACTACAGGCGAAAAAACTCATTATAGCCAATACCTCTTTTTTGTTAAGTCAGACGAAGCAATTCCCAGAAAGGTTTTGAGTGTGACAAATATAATGCACGTGGTTATCTCTAACAAGTGTGTTAGTGTTTCAGAAGAACATGAGTACAGGTAAAATGAAGAACAAGCGTAATGACTAGACGATACAAGATGATAGACTAAAGGTCAAACATAAACATCCAACAAGCCAAATCAAGAACAAGAGGAAAGCGCGTCAAGCACAACCTAAAGTGAAACATAAGGACTCAGACGAAGGATGGTCAAAGATCATTTGAAAATCTGACCACATACAAGTTGACCAGACGAAAGAAAAAGTCAATGCGTTAATGACAAATGCTCAGACAAAGGTTAAGGCTTGAGCCATACATAGACTACTAGACGCAGACGAAAATTGTCACGCAACCACCTGAGAAATCAAGTTTCATAGGACAATTTGAATGTCGTCCAAACTCACAAGAGAACACACGAAGTCATCGAAACTGTGAGAAGGAAAGAAGAATGGAGGAAATCAAGCACAGAACTAAAAGCATGCATGTGTCAGAAAAAGTACATTACTTTTTCAAACAAGGACAAAATCCCACAG